TCACTCCAAAAACACACCAGGACAAAGAGGGGAAGGATCACGATAGTCTGCTGGCATCTTTTGGGCCAGAGTCCAAGTCTGCACCCAGGACGCAGTGTGTGGTCGTGTAGAGAACTGCCTCCTATATTATAATCCTATATTTCCTTGGACAGCCTCTGGACTGCCAAGTGAATAATGCCGCATTTTCGCTCCCCCTAGTAAGCAAGGGCTGATTCTAAGACCATTAGAAAAGGGGAAAATTTTACAGTCTTCTCAGTTTCTCTGGGGTCACAGTGTAATTGTGTGGTGGGAGAAACGGGGCCCTAGAGATGGCGTGACAGTCACTTCTCATTACCTCCCACTTGGTTCATTACATCTGTAGACAGCGATTGCCCGTGTGTGGATACTTCCATTACACGGAAGGATGTAATGTGCTGGAGACCTCGCACAGCTTTCAAATGGGGAGAAGCCTGTTTATTCCAGGCACATACCTGTCTTACTTCCAGGGGCCATGCCACAGGAATGGAAAGCAACATTCAGAATAGATCAGAGGTGATCAATAAAGGAGAACCAGGTTCCATGCATGCTTACACCCAGTGAGATATTTACATGTGTGTGTTCCACCAACAAAAGACTCACACAACGGACTGAATCCTCACTCATAAATCTACCAAATTTTATTTTAGCAAGCAGCTTTATTCAGCTGTACTATACCTAGGCTTCTTTGTGTAGCACTTCTGGACTGGCAATCATCCTATTCTCTTTCCCACCCACACAAAAAATATAAAAGATCTTCTTCATTTCGCACTTGCAGGGACGAGTCCTGGGAATCATGAAATGGGGATACTATTTTAGACCTTTTTTTGCTCAGGAGTGTAAAAAGCCCCAATTATAAACTAAGGGGAGTTTACAAGAGAGAAAACAGAATTATAGTAAATTAGAAAGTGGTAATATCAGTAATTTTTAAATAATATTATAGACATTCCCTTTAAAGAAAAAAAAAAGCTCTTCTATCCCCCACCAAGTTAATAAGAGGTGCCTATAAAGAGATGATGCCCATGATGGAATAAATTTGGAAAACCACATACTACATCCTACTGTTGGGAATTCACAATGTCAGCTTTTTAAAGGTTCTGAGAATTACTATTATAAAAAAATCATTTAACTCAGTGTTGCCCTAACTAATTCAAATAACACTTTTTGAAACTGCCATCTTATCAACTTCCTGTGGGACACTTATATGACAGCAGGGGAAATCCTGTTCTACTATAGTCCCATCATTTTCTGTAGATTTACAATGTGCTAGTAATTCTCAAATTTTAGCACACATTTGGATCACCTGTGGATCTAATCCATAGCAATCATTCAGAAAACTGGGTAAGGCTCCAGCACGGGACTCCCCAACAAGCACTCATAATGCAAGGCAGCTCATGGCCCACTCTGAGAAAGACCAATCCACCCACAGACATGCCCTTTGTCTGAAGTCACGAGGGATTAACTATACCCTGATAACAAGAAAGCTTGACACTTCATAGGTTGGAAGTCTATAGCTTTGACTCTGGAAGTTGACCAAGTTCCTCATGAAACACAAAGGCTTTTGAATTGAAAATGAATGTCTTCATGAATTTACAACAACTGACAATTCATTCACCTTTGCCCCTAGCTTTAAAGGTACATCCCTTTTACTTTCAGATTCATCCATTCATTTGCTTCGATAATCCAGCTTTATTCATTTATTCACTCAACGATTATTTACCAAGTATTCTCTGTGTGTCAGACACTGGCTGAAACACTAGGAATATTCAATAAATGAGAGTGACAGAAATCCTCACCCTTGTGGGCTCACATCCTAGCAAGAATGAGATAACAAAACATCAACATAATAAATTATATACTAAGAGTTAGAAGGTGATAAGTCTTACAAATGAAATAGATCCGGCGAAGAGACGTGAAGAGTATGGGTGGTCTGAGGGCAGAAAGATGTAATTTTTAAAAAGGCAGAGGAGTATATGGCTTAACGAAAGTCACATTTGAGTGAAGTCCTGTAGCAAGGAGTGGAGCTGGCCTTATTAGCTATGTAGAGAGTCCATACCTACAGAACAATGGATGTACAGGAAGTTTCTCCTGTGAATAAGAAAGAAGCCACTGTAGGGTTTGTGGGACTACTGAGAATGGGACCAGAAAGAAGGAAATCCCACCACAGAGGTAGCAAAACCTAGATCTGCCAGGGGGTTGACTTTTACTCCAAGTGAAATGAGAAGCTATTACAGCATTTGGAGCAGAGAAATGAGATTACCTGGCAATGTTATTAAAGGATCTGAATTTATTTAACATGGATTAGGTTTCTAGTGAATGCCAGGCACTGGGATTAAGGCCATGTGCACAGAGATGAACTGAGCAGAGTCCTGGCCCTCAGAGTTTCTGTACCTCTGGTCCAGCTCTTTGCAGGTTGGTATGTGAACATTTCAAAGCTATTGTCCTTGCCCCTTATATAACCAGACCTCTACTCACTTCCCATCTCACCACCCACATTGCGCCTTGTCCTGGGGCTAAAGCAGGAAGACCTGGGATCAGATCAGTCAAGATGCTCAGGTGGCCCTACCCTGAACATACTACGTGACCCTTGGCAAGACATTTCTCCCCTTTTTCCTTGGCTTCTCCGCCTGTTTACACAATTTTCTGTAGAACTAAGTTTTTTTAGGTCTGATAAGATAACCAGCACTGATTGCTTTAGGGTGTAATGAAAAACTGACAATTTTAATTTTCCTTCAAATTATCATACTCTAAAATAAATAGAGTTGAGAAGATTCTCCAGTTATTCAATCTGGCAGCACTGCCTCAGCTGAAGACAGTCTACAAGTTGGCAGACCAGAAGCGAGGAAAAATTATCTTAGTTCCTGGAGATAAAACCTGTTAGTTATCAACAACTGAAATTGAGAGAGAGGGTCCTCTGGGGAAAAGCCATTTGCAGCGCAGTCTCCTTTTAGAACTCAAACTTGCTTGCCTCCTGCTAAATTCTCTGTTAAGGAAGGATGTGAAAAGTTACATTTAACTTCAGCTTCCAAGGTTAATTCTAAATGATCAGGCATGGCTTGTTCTCCTCACCTGTCAGTCCTCAATAGTGACTTGAGATAAAAACCCCCATTCTGAAGAAAGAGAAAATAAAATGACAGATTTCAAGGAACATTGTTCAGCAAACCAGAATTACTATCAGGGCTGTGTTTGCCTTCAGTATGCATATGCAGCCTTTGTGAAGAGCAACACCATTTTTATCAGATGCTTATGATGTAATTTCACCGAAATGGGGGGAATTCAGAGATTTGGCAAGCAATTGGGAACAGAGAAATGCAATACAATGCTATTTCAGCCTGCGGTCTGCATTGGAGCCGAGCTACTCCAGATGTTTCTCTTTTGTCTTCTTTTAATGGTTCCTCTAAATACCACATCTTAGTATCAGCCAAGGCAGCAAAATTTACAACATACTAATTAATAGCAAGATGCTTAGCTAAGCAATTCTGTCTTGGAGTATGTAATTATATTTTTAGAATTTAATTTTTTTTTCCTTTTACCTTTCTTCTGCCGGATTTTACTAGTAGAATAAGGCAGTATTAGGAACATATAAAATCTGAATATTTACCCTTAAATGCCATCCTATGATATGAATAGTTACATTTATTTCAGAATATATGTATCAAATTTCAAGTTGTGTTTATATATTGTTGACAATTTTTGCTATCAAATGAATCTCGATAAAATTGAGAACTAGGAAAAAAAATCTCACATGAGACAATCATGATTAATGTCACTTAAGCAATCAGAAATATGCATGCATCTCATCCTTCACCCCATTTCTATCGGTTGTATCAGTTATAACCTCAAAATGAAGACAAGTTGTAAAGGGAACAAAAACTGCAACTCACATAAAAAAAAAACACACACACACAAACTAGAGGTTATAGTTACATAGTACTTCTCACCATTATTTTTTCTTTTACCCTAAGCAACACTCTAACTTATTTTATTTTTTTTTTAAATAAAAGTGAAATTAGTTACTTTTCTTTGTTCTGGAACTCTTGAATTTCAGATTATCAGTAAAACGTGTTGCACCTGCCCTGCCAATCCCCAGCATTGGAGCAGTCCAACTGTTAACTTTCTCAGTTCATAATTCCAGACAGCTGGGTGTAGAGAGGGGAAAAAGAAACACATAACCCCATTTACTGGCACTCTGACAAATCTGTTCTCCAACATCAGCTGGAAGGCCCTCGGTGCTACTGGCAGTCCTTTTATTTGTCCCCTGTCAGCGCCATTTCAGATTTGCCTTACAGATGTTTCAAACTCTGTGGTCCCCTCATTCTCATAGTTGACCTTGCTCATATATCACAGAGTTCCTCTCCTTCCCTCAACCAACTGACTGACCCACGAGGATACTTATCCTCTCCCTCCCTTTCTTCTAAATCAAAGAGTGCTCTTTTCTAATCCCCAAAGCTAATACTTGTGTAGAATATCCATCCCCCTGAAGAGGCAGCTGCAGGGATGTCATTCCATCAGTTTCCCTCACACACTTTGGTGTCATTTATCCCTGCTCTCTGCTCTCTGGCTTCTACCCTCTGGTCTGTACATTTGCTCAACTTTTATCTCCTCACCATCCACACGCCCACAGAAACAATTCTTTAATTATTTTAGCCTCTTGCTCAGGCTGCAAATTGCCTTGTATAGTAATTATCTGTTTACATGACAGTTTTCAACTGGTCCAGTGGTTTTTAATCGTTGTTGTGTCACAGATCCCTTGAGACCCTGATTAAGACAATGTACTGTCTCTGGAGCTAGGCACATAACTACACACACACACACACACACACACACACACACACCTCATGCATACAATTGCAGGCTGCCTAATGACGGACCCTCTGTAGGAGATATTACTTCTGCTGGTCAATATTTTCAGTTCTACCCCCCTGCCAGGCACACTGGAGGAGTCTACTTCCTTGCTGACTTGAGATAAATCACTGCTTTGGCCAATGGAATGCAAGTGGAAGTGACGTGTGGGGAAGTTTCAAGAGCCTGTGTGCAATTTGCCATTTTTTTTTTTTTTTTTTTTTTTTTTGCTGCCACCAAAAACTGCTGTCAGTTTGGGTTCCAGAGTGAGGTGGACAGAGCAGAGCACCTAGACCTCAGCAATGGACGCGTAGAGTAAGTAGAAAATAAACCTAGTGTTGAGAGGGGTCGGGGATATCAGTCACTGCCACTTGAGTGCGGCTCTCTGGCTGGGTGGCAGGGCGGCTGTCTGCTAGACATGCAAAAATGTAAGTCAGAAAGATCTTCCCTATAAGAGCTTAAGCTACTCTTTGCTTTTTCTAATCAACAAGTTCTTTTCACCTCAGAGCTGCACACTTTCTATTGTACTCATTTAGAAGCTGCTTGCCTGGTTCTTTCCAAGACTTCTTGTCCTTCAGATTTTATTCCTTAGAGAGACCTTCCTTGGCCTCCCCTGCCACTCCCACTCCAGCCTGTGACTGTCATTTGTATCACCCGTTTCTTCCTTTCACGAGGTGTGTCACAGCCTGTACTGATCTTGTTTTCTTTCTCTTCAGTTCTGAAGAGAAAACTGTGAAGTACCGACTTCTTGTTATCAACCATGATTCATGGATAATGAGTATCGTGCCACTCTAACCTTGTATGAACTTAAGGGATTGTGCTCAAAATTTGGACTATTTTCGTTCATTAAAGATATTAAAAATAGAACCTTGAACATTCTATTGCATGTCACATTTCACTCATTTCTAAACAACATTAATAGAACAAGCTGTAACTAAAATATTGGACAGACATCCAAATATTTGAATGTGCATCAAGAACCACTGAACCTTGGTATTCGACTTGTCTCTATGAAGAGGTCAGCTTGACTTTCTGGGTCCTTTTCAGAGAGCTGTGGCCAGTAGCCCTAACAACCTTTGGTCTGTACCCAGTTAAATAGTGGTTTTTGTAATTCATTGGCATCCAGTTTTGCTTTGTTTGATTTTTTTCCTCTTTGCTCAGCATATATGCCAAATGTCTTTCTTCACAGCTATAAAAAATTAGTCCTGAAAGCTTCAGAAAGTATTGAAGGGCTAGCTCTTTGTTATGCATCTAGTGACACCGGTATACTACCTTGTCACATAATAAATAGTTCATACTTGTTTAATGAATGAATGAAATCAGTATTATGAACATACCAAATATTTGTTTCATTTGACTTTACTGAGTTTACAGTCATCAAAAACAGCAACTGGGGCCAGGGTTGTGGCTCAGTGGTAGCGTGTTTGCCTAGCATGTATGAGGCACTGGGTTTGATCCCTGGCACCACATAAAGATAGATAAAATAAAGGTATTATGTCCATCTACAACTAAAAAAAAAAAAACTACATAAAAAAACCAGCAACAATTGTAATTTCAAAAATGAAAGGTTTTACCTGAACATGAAAAAGTAACATGTTTATTGTTAAAAAATTTCAAAACTGCAAGACTTAAAATCAACTGTGAATTTCCTTGTTATTGTCTTTATAAGATGTGTTAGACACCTGACATTTGAGAAGAGATTCAGAAGTTGTAACATGCCCTTCTATCATAAAAGAGGTTATAAAAAAGATTCACTAGAAATCTATACCTCTCAGATACTCAATTTCATTTCAGTTTTAGGATCTTCTGAAATAATTATTAGGATAAATTTAAGTCTTGATGAGAAAAATAAAAATGTTTTCAAATTGCTAAAGAAATAAACTTGGTTTAGAAACAAAAGGAGCTCAGTTTTAACAATAATTCTATTTTCTTTAACTTTCTCTTATGTGACAGTGTGCGTTATAAAACGGTATCTCTTCAAATGAGAAACATACCCTATTACTCTACATCTTATGTAACATAATTGGTATATGACAACTACATTTTTTCTATGTTATTTTATACAAAAAATCCACATGTGCAACTTTTGTAACATGGATTTCTTAGGATGGTGCTAGGCATTTTTTTTTCCTTCTTAAATCGTTTCCTCAATTTTTAATAGAAGGTTATGAATGATCTGCTACCATGTTATAAGATAATGTAAGTAATGTCTATAAAACTGAACATGAAAACATGTGTCTATACATGTGTGTAGGATAGAGCTTTGGAAAAGTTGTTTTGCATACAAGTCATTTCTCAATACAACACATCCTTCCTGTTTAACTAGAAAATAAACCAAAATATGTAACTTCTACAGAAATAGTTGCTATAGAAATGTAAAAGATACAAATAACACTGAACCGTGCCATCAAAAATTGCAGTTTAAGTAGGACAGTATCAACATTTATGTTTAATAATGCTGACTGCATGGATTCTTCTACATTCCCTAAAATGAAAGTGCTGAGTCCCAAGTTGGGAGGTCCTCTACTACTAAAAATAGCACATCTACACACACACACACACACAAAAAAAAAAAAATTAGCAAACTTCCAGATTAGAAATTCAGTACATAGCAAGAAATATTCCTTTATATGAAAATTTAATGAATAATGGATTCAAATGATGCAAATTACTTTTCTTCATTTCATTGTATGAACTGAAAAATAAGCTGTTCCCTACACAAGATTTGTAGACACTTTGACTCACAGGAGTAAATGTTTCTTCAGGTTTCTACATGTCTGTCATTTAATTTGCTAAAGAGCTCATTTTGAAATTATGTTCTGTGATAGCATTTAAGGTAACATCAACCTTTATGTTTGTTAAGAAAAAAGAATCATAGGATGAATCTCTTAAAACATTTGGCTCCGTTTTGGGCTTTTTGGCATGATACTTAAAATACTGAATTTCTAACAAGGCATCTGGTATATATAAAGGTGACTGTTAAACTCTTCTTGCCTTTGATCTTGCCAATTAAGTTTTATAAGAGAAAAAGTTCTATCGGCCAACTTAAAGATTATAGCTTGAGAAAAGTTATTTTAGAAGTTTGATACATCCTGTGTTCTAAAACTAAAATAACCTTCCTTTTAAAAACATGACACTAATATACCCATTCATATTATAAAATTTAACTCCTGGTTTATGATATTATCAGTACGATCAGCTTTAAATACACGGGAGGGTGGGTGCTATAGTTTTGATCTTAAATGTTTCCCCAAGACCCATGTGTTAAAGGGGGGAGCCTAGCAGGAGGTCTTCAGGGGGTTGGGGTATACCCTTGAAGTAGACAATAGGACCCTTGGCCTCCTTTTGGCTCACTCTTTAGCTTTCCTGCCACGAGGTCAGTGACCACATGCTTCGGCCATGATATGTTGCCTCATCACAGGTCTAGAAGAATGCAGTTAGCCAATCAGACTGAAACCTCTAATATAGTGAGCAAAATAAAACCTTCATCTTGATAAGTTGATTACCTCAGGTATTTGTAATAGTGACAGACATCTGACAAATACAGAGGGGGAGAGAGAAGAAGGGAGAGTGAAAAGTGAGAGAGGGGAAAGAGAATCCTCTTTCAGAAAATAGAACAATGGTCACTCCTCTACCTTTTTCCCTATTAGTAAATATTGATACCAATTTCAATACACCTATTTTACCTGTATTATTATTATAATAAAATTCTATCTGAATCTGCATCTTAGTAAACTGAGTTTTTCTGATTCAGCTTCAAAGCACGTAGAGTATGGGTTGCGATATAAGATAGGCAAGAGTTCAGAGCCAAACTTCAAAATTAACTGTCAACTATGGTCAAGATTTAATGCTTCTGTTTTTCCATCTGTCATGGGAAAAACATATCACACAATGATCTAAATTTTATGTCAATGTTCCATTGAAATTATCTTCTTGAACACCGATACTCTCAATTATCAAACTGAATATTTACTTGTATTTTAACTCTTTGCAATATTTGACTCTACCATTTCATATTTCTTTCAATTGTCTTTTTTGGTTTCTGTGATCTATCCTGTCATTTATCTTCCTGGGTGTTCATTATCACTGTCTTTTTGAGGCAATACTCTCTCTGGTGTCAATGACCTCTCACTCTTCTCTTTGCAAATAGTCATTCCAACAAAATTTCCCTACCACTCCTCCCTCCCCATGTCTTCAACCATCACCTAAAAACTGATGGTCCTATAATTCCTCCCTGTCAGGCCTCTGACCCAAGCTTTCAGCCTGCATATTACTCCTATTAGACAACTTAACTGGACTGTTCTAAGTGCCATCCACAATTTATACCTACCCTGACCCAAGATGAAAAACTAGAACACATCCAGACTCCCATTCTCTCACTCTGCTCTCATATCCTACCAGCCTATGATGGCTTACTGATCCTACTTCTAAATAAGTGTTTATTTCTTCCACGGCCTTAGTTCATTCCTCATGTGTAGAGCAAGAAACTAGCCCCTGCATTATCCAGATTAGTCTGTGTGTTATAACAAAGGATGTTTATAACAAATGTTGCAAGAAAAACATTAGTGATATAGCACAATAAAGATTTATTCCTTGCGCATGTCACAGTCTCTTGCAGGCTGTAGAACAGAATCTACTCTCCTCCGATAACCAGGTTTCTTCCATCTAATGGCCACCTGATCTCTTAGGTGCATGGAGTGCCCCATCAGATCCTGACTTTCACCTGATAGGCATATGAGAGGACAGAGGGTAAAGTTTGATTACGGGCTTACTCTGTATACAATGATGGAACAGGGACAGGAGGGCTACAATTAAAACTCTCATTCAACAAAGGGACTGTTAGGACAAACTTCACTAGTCCACATCAATTCTGAAATCACTATGGAAGTCCACTACCCTGAGGAGAAAGAGTCACTTGATTAAACTTTCATTCTCTCTGAATAATTCCTTTGTCCCTTTCTTCCTTAGCCCTCTTTCCTTTAGGGTTTCTTATTGTTTATTTAATCCCCTTGGCCAGAGTTGAAATAAGTAAATCCAAACATTTTAAAGCTAATAAATAATTTCATACATCAAGGAGTCAAAGATGTTCAATTTGATATTTTGAATTTTTTCACAGTGCAATTTCTGCAAAAACTTGTTCAGCTCATGTTGTATTTGCTTCCATGTCATAGTTTCTAGCATTTCTCTTCCTCTCTCCCCCTCTCCACCTTTCCTCTTCCTTTTATCTGATCTTGACCATAGAACCAAGTCATGTTGTTCAACTAAAAACTCTGACTGGGTTCTTCATGTCTTCATTTGGGATCTGGAACCAGTTGAATTTCCAACCATTTTTCTAAAAGTCTTTGGACTCTTTGTTGTTTTCTATTCAACCTGGAAAATGGTCAGTTCTTTCTGAGATCATTTCTTCGTGGAAACACCTTACCCAAAGCAGCCAACAATAGCTGTCACACACTTACACTCTGATTCTTTTAAATACATCTTCTAGGGGCTGGGGTTGTGGCTCAGCAGTAGAGCGTTCACCTAGTATGTGCAAGGCCCTGGGTTTGATCCTTAGCACCATATATAAATAAGTTAAAAAAAAATAATAAAGATATTGCATCCAACTACAACTAAAAATAAATATTTTAAAAAATTAAATAGAATACATCTTCTAAATTAATGGTCCTCATAATGTGATCTGCAAAACCCAGTAAATCCCAAACCCCTTTAGTGAAATCATGAGATCAAAGTTATTTTCAGAATAACACTAAGAGGTTACTGGACTTTTTTTTGTTTTTTTTGCATTTGAACTCATGATGCAAATGTAATGATAGGAGAAATTGTTGGTCTTTTAGAACAAATCAAGGTAATATCACCAAATTGTAGGATTGTATTGATCACTAAAAATGTCCATTGGATCATTTCATCACCATGTTCTCAGTTTTAAAAACAAGTTGAAGTTAAGATGACTCTGATGAAAAAGTAAGGGATTTACTTTACCAATCTCAACACTTGAGTATAGATCTTTTAAATATTCTGTTGGACCAAAAGCGAAGAACACATACAGCACTTGAGATGCATACCCAAGTACAATGGTTGCCTTGAGGAAAAGCAATGTACGATTGTTTGAGTTGCAAACGGATTCATCTCTTTTTCATAGAGCACCATTTTTACTTGAAAGAACAAGTGATAAACAAAATATGGTTATTCAGACTTGGGTACTTGGCAGTTGCTTTCTCGAAAATAAATGAAGTAAGCCTGTCACTTGAAGGCAAACAACCTTACAGTATTTGTTGCCAATGATAAAATCTAAGCTTTCAAGTAAAAATTAGAATTTAGAAAACTTGTATACACCACCATGAGCTTGACAGCTTCTGAATACTTAAAGACTTTTTTTCATGAGATCAATGGCAATATTAACAAATGTGATTTTTAAAAATTTTTACATAATGAAATGCACAATGGTAAAACTCAGTAAAACAGTATTTTCCAAGTAACCAATGTAAGACATTACAAAATCATACATAGGTAAAAGATTTATTTAAAATGAAAATAAGTCAATAGATTTTAATGTAATAGAGTGTGAAAGTTCATTGATATGGTTTTGGATTTCACATTGCAATGAAATTTTAAGAAATTATCACTTGGGATCTATACTCAGTAGAAGAGCATATGCTTAGTGTGGGCAAGGTCCTATACTCAATCTCCAGAAAAGAAAGAAAGAAAAGAAAGTATCACTTGTTAAGTTGGGATGTAGTATCATAGAATATCTGCAGTTATCTAAAAAGACTAAAAATATGTTCCTTCAAAAGAAGTATGGGTCTTGATTCTAGATGTCTTCTATTCGGATAGACAATAAAGGGTTTTGAAAAAATATAAAATGATGCCATTCTTTTCATTTTTTGCAAATGCGATTATAATAAAAATTGTTATTGATGTTAGCATAATGGATGTATTATTATTTTTGACTCATTAATTTTTTAAATTTCTCAGTTTAATTTTATTATTATAATTCTTGCTAAATATAACACATAAAACACATAAAAGCTTTTTGTGAGCTTCAATAGTTTTTAAAAGGATAAAGGAGTTCTGAGAACAAAAGTTGGAAAATACCTGTTCTAGAAAGGAGATTGTCAGACTTTGGCCTGAAGGTAAATACCAGCTTGCTTTCTGTTTCTTAAATAAAGTCTTATTGGAACCCAGCCCAGCCATTTGCTTACATGTTGCCATGGCTGCTCTCCCAATGTGGTAGATTAAGTAGCTCCAACAGAGATTGTATTACTTTCAAAGTCAAAACCTGAAATATTTATTATCTTACCCTCTACAGGAAACACACACACACACACACATATACACCACTGACCCCTACCCTATACCTTTGGTTTAATCTTAGCTGCACAGTTAGAATCACCCAGAAAACTGGTTAATCCCTCTGCATCCAACCAGGATATGAGAGAAAAGAAAGAACATAGAGGATTATGTAGGAGGCATTTCATGGGCAAGGTCTGGAAAGGCATACATAACTCCTTTGGCCAGAAATTAATTACACTGGTCATAACAAACCAAAAAGAAGGTGCAAAATATAGTCTTCCTCTCTGCTAAAGAGGGAAGAAATAGTAAACTTATTTCTCTGGACTGATCTTTGAGATAAATCCTAAGGGAAAAGTAAGGATTTTCCAGATAGACAAGGAGTAGAGAGGACAGAAAGTTTCATAATGTGGCTGGGGTGCTCCTAAGAAGAGCCATGGAATACTTATGGAATCTCAGAAGAATTTTTATGAATTAATTATATTAGAAATCTTAAGAGATTTTTTTTTTCCTGACAAAACTGCAAAGAGAGCATGTTATATAGGCTGGCTGCAGTTAGATCAGGCAGACACCGTATGGCACACAACTTCTAGATTCCCTCTTCTATTTCTTATCTTGAAATTTAAAACATCTAATTTGGGCTGGGGTTGTGGCTCAGTGGTAGAGCGCATGCCTAGCACATTCGAGGCCCTGGGTTCTGTCCCCAGCACCACATAAAATAAATAAGTAAATAAAATAAAGGTATTGTGTCCAACCACAACTAAAAAATAAATATTAAAAAATCCAACTTGGTATTTATTTTATTGAATTACACTTGACCTTTCTTTGCCCTCATTATTTTAACAGGTTCCCAAAGAAGTTTCTGGTACCCTTCTTCTTAGATAAAGGTTGAGAGTTTTTATTTCATTCATTTATTTTCTCAAAAAAATTTATCAAACGTGTACTTCAATAGAACTTAATTGTGCAGGAAGATTGATAGTAATATAAAACCCCCAAAGGAAAATGGACAAGTTTCTAACCTTCGTTTCCAATATCTTTCCAGCACAGATCTCCTGTTTATTTCAAAGAGCAAACCAAAATGAGGAGGAAAACAGAGAAAGTGATAATGACATTGAATATTGCTACCAAACAAGGATTTTGCATGTTCCTCATTAACTAAATTTCTGCAATTTCCTAAATGTGTGAAGGTATAGCAGACCTGTAACTTCAACTTAGACCTGTAACAACCTACCAGTGAACAGAGTTTATATGAATCACTTCATTTGTATGTGTTTATTTAATTTGCCTACAACAACTGAAGAGAAATCAGTCCTTTCATAAACATTTCAAGTTTAAGATAAGAAATTTACATTGTAAAACTACTTTATTGTAATTCCTTTAAATTTCTCTTGAAAAAGAGCACTGGTTTGTTTCACATGCTAGCATTCAAGTGTTCCATGTAAGATTCATAGCCAACTTAATTATGTGGACATGAATCTTTCCCATAAATTAAATATTCCTAAATCTGCACATCTTATGTTAACTATAGTGTTCAGCAATATATTTTACTCAATATATCTGTTACTTATGAATTGTGGTCTTCTAAATAATTTACTATTCATAGGATCAGTTGGGTTTTTGGCAGTATTAAGATTGAACCCAGGGCTTCCTTCCTGTGAATTACACCCCCATCGCTTTTTTAAAATTTTGAGACAGGATCTTACTAAGATGCTGAGGCTGCCATCAAACTTGGGTTGCCCCTGCCTCAGTCTCCTAAGTAGCTAATTACAGGGGCCACCCTAAGTGGCTGTAACGAATATTTTATATGATTCCTGTCTGTTTTATAGAGGTTAAACCATCCAACGGTGCCCAATTTTAATATATGTCAAGCATTTCTGGAACAACAATTATTTTACACCTAGTAGGGTGAAGAAAATTTTATAAAGAAAGGCTTATACAATAATTATCAGTGATTGATACAGTAAAATTTATTCTGAACACAGGTACATAATTTTTAATGTCCAAATCCTAACTATCAATAAATGAAGTTTTTTGAACCTTTTCTCTTTCATCAGGAACTTCCTTCAGCATCTGGCAAGCATTGGACTCCTGCTTTCCCTGTGGCTTTGTTCTCCTGCATGCTGAATATTAATAGTAATTATCTATTGTCCTCATCCTTACCTACCAACACATTATCAGCTTCCCGTGGGCATTGATTCTGTACTATGGAGTCTAACCTTCTAACCACAGTGGTACTGAGTAACCAGGGAATTATCCCCCTAGGAGAACAGGAGCTCTTTTCACCTCTGAGTCAATAATCATTAGAAGCAACCAATATATTGTCAAGCTTAACAAATCACAATTGGAATAGAGACCATTGCAATGAGGAAGTTGCAATTATCCAGCAATTATGTATAGATATATCTATTCTTCTAATGATTGAGTCACACAAAATGTGCCTACACTTCTGCTAAACTTAATCTGGAAGGTTTCTAAAACTTGTTTTCTTTTTTTTGTTTGTTTTAATGTAGATTTCAGAATCCTAAGAAGCAATTGCATCTGAATGAAATAGTAATGACAAAATTTATGAAGCGGAAAGAAGAGTAATTCATTCACCTGACATGAGCTTAATTTCTTAAAGGAGGGAAGGGAAATTTCCAAGTTCTCTCCCCTAATAGAAGATGGCCTGAACTGCCATGAAATTTTTAGCCATCAGAAGAGTGCCCACTTTAGCAAATAATGAACATGAATACCTAACATTTTAGGAATGCTTTTAGCTACAGGTAATGAACAGAAAGCCTGACTAGAGTGGCTTTAAAAAATTAAGGAGCATTTTTCTCCCATAATGAGAAGTCCAGAGTTAGCAGTGCATGGCTTATTCAGCAGATCAGTGATGCCAAAGAGTCTGAGATCTCCTTGACCTTGTTCTCACAATTACAACAAATCTGTTGCAGCTTCCACAATTATATCCCCTTTCCAACAAGATGACAGAGAATGAAGCCGATAGAAAAGGAATTGCCAATATCTGAAAGTAAAAGTTTTATGAGAAAGCTCCCAGAAAATTTCTGTTTATATCTCTTTGGCCATAGTTTTGTTCCAGAGTCACTCCTGGCAGAGAGATGGCCAGAGAGAGGAAAGGCAAAGAAAAAAGCAAAGGCAGCTCATGGCATCCAGACATTGGCCAGATACTCATACCCAGGCACTGATGTTCAGAAGATACTCATACCCAGGCACTGATGTTCAGAAGATACTCATACCCAGGCACTGATGTTCAGAAGATACTCATACCCAGGCACTGATGTTCAGAAGAGTGTTTTACTTTTGATCTGAAATGTCCCCCCAAAACCCATGTGCTAAAGGCTTGGTCACCAGCCCAGGGTGCCTATCAGGGCAGGAGAAACTTTGGGAAGTTGGGCTAATTGGAAGCAAGTTAGATCACTGGTGAATGCCCTTGGAGGGGATTTTGGCCCCTTTCTGTTTTTGCTTCCTGGCCTCCATGAGGTGAGCAGCTCTTCCACCAGGTGCTCACACAGGCTCGAAGCAACAGAGCAAAGAAAACAGACTGGAACCTCTGAAACCATGAGCCAAACAAACCTTTCCTCCTTTAAGTTGATTTTCTCAGGTATTTTGTCACAAAGACAGAAAATTGACTAACACAAAGAGTTAACCCAGCTTTCACAAATAGTCCTTGGCGATCTCCGGTTCAACCGAAACAGGTTTCCATTTTTTAGAGCTGAGTAATATTCCATCGTGTATAAATGCCACATTTTTTTTTATCCATTCATCTGTTGAAGGGCATCTGAGTTGGTTTCACAGTCTAGCTATTGTGCTACTCCAATCATACTTCTGAAGTGGATTAAACCTCACTGTCACAATAATAATAAGTCATAAAGGTACAGATCTCAGGGTTGAGAAGGCTGAGGAGTGCATTTGCTGTTTCTGAATCCCTCAACTAAATTGCATAATTTGACACACTATCTAGATAGCCACTAAATAAAGCAAAGTTGTACATTATAGTCATTCTTAGACTGCCTAAGAACTAAGCTTTTTAAAAAATTCATGGTTTCCCATTTATGAAGTAAGTATGTAAGATACATAAAGATAAAAACCAAAAATATTCATTATCTCTAGAGTAAAAGTTTTGTAAAAGTGATCCTTCTTTGTTTTCAGTTTGAATACCAGAGATAATCAATTGAAATAAAAATATGGATAGTTAAATTCATTTGAATAAGTGATGATATTATGTACAAATTACAATGTTCAGAGAACTTGGCTATATTTCCTTTTTTAATAAACTAAAAGGTGGTTTTAAAAGCCAGCAAATATAAAAACAGAATCTAAATTCTAACTTGAGAAAGTAGAAGAAACACCTATCTTCATTGAATGAATACAGAGGTATTTTGAAGAGCTCTGTAAGCAAACCACACAGACATTTTAAAAGAAACCACAGGGAAAAGCAACTTGTTTCCTAATGCTTGTTCATTCTCAAGAAGTAAAGCCTTGCAAATCATCAAAAGGATGTGCAAAGAAGTGCCAGTCTGAAAAATAAATTAATATTAATACAGTAAAAAAAAGAAAGAAACAGGTTTCCATATCACCAATATTGGAGAACATGATGAAGAAAGAAGGATGACAAACCCAATTAAGCATCTTGTTGAACAAAGAGACATGGTTATTGTGCCACCACAAAAATACCAAACATCTGAGCACCCTGGCTGATTTGAGGAACTTGCTTTTCTTCCAACTTTGCCTTCTGTGTTGCTTTACTTCTGCCATCTTAGAAATGTTTAAACCAGAGCTATCCCGAGTTCCTGAAAGTGTCCAATCCAGAACAAAACCACTTCTTTAAATTTTCCTTCTGAATCAACTACATCCATGCTTTCAGACACCCTCTTGCTAAAACACTACACACCACCACATATGTGGTGTGTAGTCTCCTTTTTACTAATTCCAGTAATAATTCGAACTCCTTCAACTCTCAGTATGTTCCTGGTGATCTATGGCTGGTTGATAGCACATTGAGTGGACCAAATAAGTATTTGTCACCTTTTTTTTTTTTTCATCCCAGTCCATTTTTAACTAAAATGATGTGCTTTAATATGGCATGCTTCAAACTCCTTAACAAGAAAAGGAAATCAGGATAGAGCAAACAGAGCATATGATTAACATTCAGAGGCTAAGGCTCTCGTCAGCTCTATCCTATTAATAACACAAGTGACCCTGGGCAAGCCATTAAAGGAAAGAAGAGAAACTGACCTCACAACATCCAGTGAACCTGCCAGCATTAATATGCTTGAGAGATGACAAAACTAAAGCTCCAAACAATTAAGTATTTTATTCTTCTATTTACATTTGTGAGCGGGAAAATCAAGATTCAAACCCAGGTATGTAAGTCTAAATTTGAAAACCTTTTCATTTCACTGAGGTGCCTCATGAAGTCTGAATTCCTTCCCTATGAACTGACTAGGTTGTTGCACTAGGACTTAAAAGGCCCTTTCCATTCATTATGCAAGGATTCTGAATGATGAATGATAACATTTATATTTACTCTTTTTAGCACCACCTGATCTGTAGATGAAAGGTGCAAGAATAATGTGAGGTGATATATGTTTATGGAATTTTGAATTTCAGCAAGCCCTTTTCTAAACAGCATAAATCATGGATTTGATCTACCACTTGAACTTCCATGCGAAATCAATTTTCGGTTCCTTATGATTTAAAAATATGAGCACCTCACTTAAAGAATTGTGTGAGAAGCTGTACAAAGAGGAGCTGGGAAAAGGGAAGACTCACCTTGATTTTTATCCAAGGAAGTAACCTCATTTTCTATACTTAAACCTTAACATTTGCACAGTCACGTGGAACGTCTTCACCAGGAAGTGACAGACAATACAGGAAAACATGATCAATCACATGATTAAGAAAAATAAAAGTTGTATGTGTTTTATCAATTAAGTAAATAGTCTTAAAGGAAAGGATAGCAGTGTTGAGAAGCTGGAAAAACAGGCACTGAGTTACTAGAGGATGGAATGGCATTTTGTAACTTTCCTTTTGGATAGCAATTTGCAATTGGCAGCAAACACTTCTAAGATTTTTGCATATCACATTTGACCTACAATTTCATTCAAAAAACAATTATAGATGTGTACAAAGATTTTTGTCACAAAAAATGTTTGTAGAAATATTATTTATAATTGGCAAAAATCAATACAAAGCTAAAAGGTTTATAATAGAAGATTAGTTAAATTATAGTTTATTCATGTAATGGAAACTTGTGTGGGTATTCAAAATAAAATTATATGTGCAAGTCAAAATAAATTTCTTGGTTGAAAAAATGTAAATTACAAATACATTATTGTGTTTTTTGCTTTATATGTGAATATGGGTACAAAAGCAATTTAAATAGAATAGTTATCTCTGGTGAAATTTTGTTCTTTTTGTCCATGTTTTACAAATTTCTAACAGGAAGATAGATTACACTAAATTTTTTTTAATGAATTAAGTGACATTTTGAAACAAATACTACTAGAGCTCCATAAGAATACACTATTCAGTAATTCAAATACTAAATTTCCTGTCCCTTCAAATAATAAGCAAAAAACCCCCCATCCCTGGTATACAAAAACACTCTCCATGATGTGAACAAGCTCATAGATGCCAAGCCAAGGGCCATCTTTTTTCTCAGAACCATAAATGTCCTTGTCCTTCAAGGTTCATTCTCAATAGTTGCTTCAATTATCTTTTCTACTTTAAATTGGAAGCCTAGTTTAATGGGAATTCTATAGGTATAAACTTATAATTTTCAAAAAACAAATTAAAATAAAAGTTACTTAAATTACAAAAATTTTTTATCATGATATTACCCATGTGGATTTCTGAGGGTTTTTGAAAGGAATTTGTTTACTTAAAGTACTTCTTTGACTAGTTGCATGTCCATAGTAGTGTTTTTTTAGGCCAATGCAATACTGCAGCCAACAATTGTGCAATGGTACTTGGAGAAAGATGGTATTGCAGGAAGAGGCTGTTTTCAGTTCTTTTTCCTTGGGCATTTTTTAAAAAACAGGAAGGGCCATTAAAAATCATTATCATCAAAAAAAAAGATGCCTCATCTCACTGCCACATTAATAGCATAATTTTAAAACCTCCTGTTATGAGAAGTTGAAGAATTAATTTGTCAGCATTTCTATTACAATAGCTGCCTTACATTGGTTTCCTGTTATTTCTTAGATTCCTTAATACTCATTATCTTATTTAATCCTCACAGGCAACTACAAAGCAGATATGATTGTCACTGTTTTACAGAGGAAAAAAAATTAAATTATTCAAATTGTTTAAATTTTCTGAATCTCAAAGTTTAAATAACTTTAACAAAATCACACAGCCAGAAAGAGAATCAAGATTGAAACACAGGTCTCTCTGACTCAAGTCCTATATTTTATCCATTATGCATCCTGAACTCATACCTTTCTGACTAGATTCTTTGAGTTGACTTTTTTCCATTTGTTGGCTATTGAGAACCTCAGAAAATACATCTCCTCATATTGTAGGATGCACTATTATGAAGTTATTCAAGCTCACAATTCTGAAATTCCCCCAATATAAGGTTTGACATAGGATCAGTGAATATAAATCTGTAAATGGTGGTTTCTTCCTCAGTTTTAGATATAAAAAATGTCCCTCTACAGTAAAATTACAAAGTAAAACTCCAAGTTTTCCAGTCTATTTTTAAATTCTTCATCCCAGTATATTTAACTATTCTCACAATGTTTATTCTGTGCAAGGGATCAACATTTATTACTCTCATCTTACCAATAGATTCAAAACTACACATTCCCCTTTAGGTTGGTGGTCTCCATAATCATTGTTGTTCCAGAAACTCTTTCCATGTGGCTGTGTTGTGTTGGATGCCTGATTATTGGTGTTTGTGCCTGATGCAATCCCAAGGTGCCCCTTGAATGGATCCCACACTCTGCAGTCTCTTGCATCTTAACTCACCACTGTGGCTACCACTTAGAGCCAAGGGAAAACAGAGATGGACTCAAATTGAGACATCTACTGTGACTTGCTAGGCTTCCAGCTCAGACTATAAGAAAAGATAATCTATGTCAAACTGGGTTCTATTCCCAAAGTTGCGAGTCTTTGGATTCACTCATATATCCACTTCCATGAAGCAAAGTGGTTATTACAATATTAGGGTTCAGAGTAAAGCTCCTTGTAGAACAAAAACAAAACTTCCCTTCATACATTTTCCCATGCACTGGTTCAACTTAGTCACACCTTCCTCATATTTTCTTCATCACAGCATTTCTTTGCACTGGAAGTACATCCTGTAGGTTTTGATGACTTTTAAATGAAATAGGAAAAGTGTCTTAAGGTTAAGGCTTTCTCTAGGAGGTCCCCCTGCTCCAATGAAATGTCTAAGTGTGTAGGCTGCCCAACTTTTTTCTAACAGGACTTAAGTTCTGAGCACCAATGATAAGCCAGGTAGAGCCATTTGATTCAGCCAAATGTCTGATTCCAGGGCATTTGCATGAGTGTATTCAGTTACAAAGTTATATTGCTTTAGTTAGTTTGGACTTTGATATTAAAAACTAATATGTAGGTAGCCTAAGCATCCAAAAATTTAATTCTCACAGTTCTGGCAACCAAAAATCCAAGATCAGGGTGCCTGCATGGTCAGATTTTTGGTAAGGGTCCTCTTTCTGGTTTATAATCTTGTATCTGCATATATTGGACAGCAAACAAAAAAAGAAAAACTCTCTGGTCTCTTCCTATAAAGAAACGAATCCCATTCTAGCTCTTTCACCCTCAAGACTTAATTCCTGCCCAAAAGACCCATCTCCAAATACCCTCACATTGGAAATCAGGGTCCCAACACACAAACTTCTACATGATAGGTGTGGACCCCATTAGAAATATAAACATTACAAGGATTTTCAATCACATTTTATTCAACTAGGTAAAAGTGGAATTCCTGAAATATAATCAGAGATAACCATGTGGGAAAGAAGGTGGCAAGAGCATTCAGTCGGAGAGGGAAGATGGAGGCGAGGGGAGTGCATTGCCCCCGTGTGCTGCTTCACTGTGTGGGAGTATGACAAGTCAGGACGGCTAAAGGCTATCTTGTTAGGAATTTCCAGCAATAGTGGGGTGCTCCGGAACCTGGAGGAAGGATTTCCATCGCACGAGGATCGGCTACGGGGACTCAAACGCGAGAGGTTTGTCGCACGGAGGGTAACACTGCTTATTCAGCAAATCGCCCTGCGGCTAGAGTCTGCGGCGCGCGCTGGGAAACGAGGAGATAGCGACGCAGGGATACAGCGCTGCAGATTCTGCCAGCCGTGCAAGCACCGTACTTAGGGCTGAATTCTGGGTTCGAGACGGGGAAGGAAGCGGTCCATCTCGGTTCTCCACACCGGTCAGACCACAGAGGAGGCCAGCAGCCACCATGTTGGAAAGCTGACGTCACCATCCCTGTTTTCGACTGACCGCAGCTCATTCAGCCATAGAACAGGTAATTTCAGGCTGCCATTCGCCTGCGGCTTGCAGACAGATTACTAGGGTTCAGTGCCTGGGTGCTTCTTAGAACCTGATCTTATCGGAGCGAACACCGAGCGCGGGGCGGCCGAGTTCCGGCTCCCGGAACTGCCCTGGCCCAGGGCTGCGGAGCCTGCGGAGGCTGCTTCTTGGACCCTGCTCCTATCAGAGCATACACCAAGCACTAAGCGGCCGAATTCCGGCTCCCGGAACTGAGCCCGCGGGGACTGCTTCTTGGAGCCTACTCTTATAGGAGCTTACACTGAGCACGGAGCGGCCGAGTTCCGACTCCTGGAACTGCCCTGGCCCAGGGCTAGGAGCCCGCGGAAACTGCTTCTCGGTCCGGGACATGCTGAGGGCCGGTCAGGACTCACCCGTTGCTTTGGTTGCCCGGCAAGGGGAACGAAATGCTGCCATTCGCATAGGATACCAACATGGCAGAGATCTGATGTCATCAGAAAGTGGCGGAGGAGAGAACTTCATCAATACCAGCGGCAACAAACAGTTGGTCTCCTGGTAGGGGGGGTGAGGCACAGACACCCAAGTCTCCTCAATTTGTCGTCGAGCCAGAGGGGAGGAGCCGGGCCGCCGCCAGCGCCCGGAGCAGGCCCAGCGGCTCGCCAGCGTGGTGACCGCATGACCCCAGTTGGAGAGGGGGCGGAGCGGAGCCGCCACCTGCACCCGCAAGGTGGGCAGACCCGCGACCCAGCGGTACATGGGCGTGGTAGGAGGGGCAGGGCAGAGCCGCTGTTCGCGCTTGCAAGGTAAACAGACCTGTGACAGCCTGGCGGGTCAGGCCCAGTGGCCTGCCAGTGTGGTACACACGTCACCCCAACTGGAGTAGGGGCAGAGCAGGTCCTTCTCCCACGCCCGGAACAGGCCCTGCCGGTGTGGTGGCCACGTGACCCCAATTGGAGTGGGGGCAGAGCGGAACCGCCACCCGTGACCGCAGGGTGAGCAGACCTGTGACCAACCTGCAGATCAGGCCCAGGGGTCCGCAGGCGAGGTAGGAGGGGCAGGGCAGATCCGCCGCCCACGCCTCCAAGGTAGGCAGACCTGCAACAGACCGGCGGATCAGGCCCAGGAGCCTGCCGGTGTGGTACACACACCACCCTAATTGGAGTAGGGGCAGAGCAGAGTCGCCGCCCGTGCCAGGAACAGGCCCAGCGTCCTGCAGGCGGGGTAGTCACGACACCCCAATTGGAGTAGGGGCAGAGCAGAGCCTCCACCCATGCCCGAAAGGTGGGCAGATCTGCGACCGACCAGCGGGACAGGCCCAGTGGCCTGCCAGTACGACAGACACGTCACCCCATTTGGAGTAGGGGCAGAGTAGAGCCGCCGCCCGCACCTGCAGGGTAGGCAAACCTGCAACCGACCGGCGGATCAGGCCCGGTGGCCTGCCGGCGTGGTACACTCGTCACCCCAATTGGAGTAGGGGCAGAACAGAGCCGCCGCCAGCGCCCAGAACAGGCCCAGTGACCTGCCGGCATGGTAGCCATGACACCCCAATTGGAATAAGGAGAGAGCAGAGCCGCCGCCTGCACCTGCAGGAAAGATACGCAAGCAGTATGAAAAGACAAGGAAAGAAAGGACCACAAGCAATGCAGGTCAAGGCAACTTTAGAAGAGGTAACAGCTGCAGCAGATGGAATGTCAGATAAAGAATTCAGGATACACATGCTTCAGATGATCTGGAGTATCAAGGAAGACATTAGACAGCAAAATCAGACAATGAAAGATCACTTCGACAATGAATTACGCAAACAAATCCAGGAAACAAAGGATCAACTATACAGGGAGATAGAGGTTATAAAAA